GCGCCTCGGACGAGCAGTAGGGCTGGGGGCGCCCCTCGGCCGGGGGAATCCGAGTCCCCCACCGCCGCCCCTTCCTGTTCCTCCTTCCCGCTCCCCCCAGACTGAAAATACCGTCATCCACATGAAGCCCTTTCCGTGGACAAACGAGGGCTGTCGCAGAAAACTGAATAACTTTATCTCAGGTTCTTGAAACATGTCTCACGTGATGCGAAGAAACACACCTGGACGCGGGCCTCCTCGCCCGCTGTGCCAGAGCTGGGAGCGAGGGCGCACGAGACACCTCGGAGCATGTGCAGACCCACAGAGAAACCGTGGAACGTCTACAGCAGCTCGGCAGAGCACACGGGCCACTGCGCGCCCTGCCCTGGTGGGAATAAGGCAGCTGCATGGTAAGGGACTGGCCTCTGGCGCACCCCCGTCACCGTGGAGAAGCCACAAGCAGCCGTGCGCCAAGGCCACATCCACGCATCCAGACGACCTCGCCGCTTTGTAGTATTTACGCCTGGTGTATACCAGGTGAGTATACACCGGTGCCCGTGCACGCTGTCACGCCCACAGCGCCCTGTGACAGAGTCCGGCAGGCAACACCCAGCAGGGTGAGCGTGACATCCAGCCCAGGCAGGGCCCTGCGCCACCTCGGACGGACACGGTGCCCCACCGCGTCGGAGCAGCTCCCCCGCCACAGGGCACACCCTCGCTCCCCAGGCCCTGTGGTCCCCCCGGGCCACGGGGCACCTGCACATTCCTTTGTTTTTGGAATTAAAAGGTTTATAGTTACTGCTGTGTCCAGTTCTTTGAGTTCTGCTGAAACTGTTGTCCTATCTAAAAAATGAATCCTTTACCATGAGAATGACATTTGGGCAAATTCTGAGACTTTTTCCATTTTAATGTTCCCAGTGGGCAGAGGTGCACGCTGGCCCCTCGCCGACAAGAGGCAGGGGAGGGGCCCCAGGGCACAGTCTGTGAGGAGTATCACCGCTGACCCAGTGAGCCGTCCCTTTTCAGGAGACAGCAGTTAGAAATCATGTGGGAACAGTTCTACAGATTTCTTCAGGGTCTCTAGGATCTGGAAGTCTGGGGAGGGGGAGGGTAATATGTACAGAGAATTCCTTACCCTTTGGAAGTAGATGGCAATGCTCTTGGGGTTTTTTTTTTTTGTTTATTTGTTTTGTTTTGTAAAAAAGAATTAGCAATTCACAACAGTAGTTGGGCTCTATAGCCGGAGACACAGTGCGTTGCTCTCGAGTCCCCAGAGACGCAAATGTGGTTACTGCCGATCCGCGTGCAGGTCCCGCCCAGAGGGAGGGACACCCCCTCACGCAGCTCCCTGGGTCGGCCAACCCACGCTCCTCGCTCGGCTGCAGCTCCTGGCACGGCCTTGGGCCACTCACGGCCCAGCCCTAGGACCACTGGGCAGCCCTGAGCTGCGCGTGGCCTCCCACTTAGAGAGATGACGGACCACCCCCGGGGCAGTCAGAGGTGACAAACACAAAGTGGAACCTGAAAGAGCTGGAGAGCCAGCCAGCAAAGGAGAGACCAAGACCATGCAGATGAGAAGGGGGGAGTGCCCGTGTCCCCACCCGCTGAGTCCATGTCTCAGCCGAGTCCTCGGCACGGCTGCCGGGCAGGCCGGGGCAGCAGCATGTCCGTGAAAGAGGACGCTCGGCTTGCATGTGCCGGGAGCCTGCGCCTGGGTGCACACGCTTCCCTCCGGGGCGCGGGTGCCCAGAAGGGACAGCGCTGTTGGACCCCCTCCACCACTCTTCCTCCCCGTCAGCGACGCAGTCACTTTTTAAAATCGTGCACGACTTTTATATTTACAACTTGTGAGCGTGTTAGTCTGGTCTTCAGCCAGTCTTCGGTTTTGCAGAGAGCAGTCCTTGCAGAATCCTGTGTGCATGAGCAGCACCCGTTTGAAAGAGATTCTGGGGCGACACTTCCTGCAGGAGCTCTTCACGTGCTCTGCCAGCACACAGCTAGAGAGTTATTTTCTGCGTTTGGACACAGAACAAAATTCTTTCCCCTAAAGATAAGAAAGAGCCCCGGTAGTGCCTGATGTGATGTAAATCACGTGAGCCTGGCATCGGCGGTTCTAGATTTCGCACGGTGTGTCCAACCGTCGGTGTCTGGCAAGTGTTTCTCTAAAATGACGCGATGCTCCAACTTCTCGTTGCCCATAAAATGTGCAGTGCCCCAGCCCCCCGATTTGCTTAGCCCTCCCTGCCTGAGCCCCCCAGTCTCTCCTGTAGTCCCAAGTCACTGCACTCCAGGGACACGAGCACCTGCCATCAGCACGCACGGCATCTTCCCAGACACAACCTGTGAACACGGAGATGCGCAGGAAGAGAAAGGAGGGGCGAGGCCCATCCCGAGTTTCCTGGGCCACCATCGCCCCCGCCCCCGCCCCCGCCCGGCTTGAGCTGAGGGGTGGGAGGAGGGAGCGCCTGAACTGGCTACTTGACCGAGGATTTCTGCCTGTCAGCCAGGATGGTCAGAGATTCCATTCTGTGAATCTAAAAGACGTGTCTCTCTCTCCATACAGGCGCTTACTCAGATATACAGAGAAACAGTTTCTGTAAGACCTCGTGTTAAGTGGCTGGCGATCCAGTCAAGGGCGGAAGAAAAGGATTTGGGACACTCACTCTCCAAGTCAGGTCTGCTGTGTCCCTCCCAGCCGTGTCACTCTGTGCTTTTCGGAGTGAGTTTTTCCTTGTGGGCTGGACCGCACCCAGCATCTGTTAGGTGCCTGCATTTGAACAGTGGGCGTCCCAAGCTCAGGGATGCAAGAGAGCCCCCGTCTCCACCTGCCCCACGCCGCACCCTTCCTCCCTCAAGCACCTCCCCGCAGCTGGGGGCACCAGCCTGAGGGCACTCGGCCTCTCCCGCTCTGCTCCAGGCTGGTGCCCTGCTCCTGGCTGGTGCTCGGGGAGTGAAAGGACCGCAAAGGGGGCTCTGCCTGCGTGTCTCTTCCCGACACCCGCCATCACCACCTCCTCCTCCAATCCTGAGTGGACTGCTACTCGCTGTGCATGTTAGGCCCCAGAGGCAGTCATCTGTGGATTCCTCATCGCTGACACCACAGACGGAGTGGCTTAAACAACAGACATTTCTTTCCCACAGTGCTGGAGGGTGGGAAGGCCAAGGTCAAGGTGCCAGGAGATCTGTGTCTGGTGAGGCCACTCCCCGGTTCGTGACGTCCATCTTCTCACTGTCCCCCCGTGGCAGAAGGGCCGAGTGAGCCCTGTGGGGTCTCTGTTATACAGCCATCCATCCTAATCACCTCCTGAGGGCCCACCTTCGAACACCGTCCATGGGAGCTTAGCCTCCAGCGTGTGACTCTGGGTGGGGCTGGGTGGGCGGGGCGGAGCACCACTATTCAGACCACCAGGTGATCTTCCACTAAATCGGATCTGTTACAGTGGATGGACTCCACCCGACGTCCTTCTAGGTGCTTCCCATCAGTCTTGTTGACAATGCGATTCGATTGCTACTGAAGGGTGTGGCCGCAGAGGGCGCCCAGTGCTCTAGAGCGCTGCCGCTCCCCACCCCTGGGTCCCCGCTGGGACCTGGGGGCAAGGACACTCCGAACAAGACCGGCAGCCCGGGGTGTCGGTGGGAGCCACACAGACTCGGGCTCCAGCCTGCACCTCCCACTGCGGCCTGTGTCTTTGCCAGTAGAGCAAGCGGCTGCAGCTCCCTGCACCACGCCAACGCCAGGGCCTCCCGAGGCCCTCCCTGCTCACTGCTGTGCGGAGCCACCTTCCCCCCAGAAGCACCTGGGGCTTCCATCCTGAGTGTCCTCCAACGGGCCAGTTTACCTTCTTTGAATAAACGCCATTGCTTTCCTTCTGGTTTCAGACAAACTCAAAGGCTGCTGGACAGCCAGGGCTGGATACTGAGCTCGGGACAAGAGGCAGAGGGAGCGTAACCCCCCTACCACAGACAGACAAGCCCCCTGCACATCCGGAGCCCCTCCCGGAGTCGGCCCTGCCCTGCCAGGCCTGGGCGCACCCGAGTCAGGGTGCACGGGGATGGCCTCTCCACTCTCCAGGGGCTGAGTGGGGCTCCTGGGAGTCAGACGGGAGTGGAATGACTGTGGGGGGGAGGGGGGCCCAGGTGTCTCAGTGACAGCCCCGCACACTGAAGCTCACACACACCTGTCCCCCTGTCCCGTGACCTGAGGTCACACCCAGCCTGTTGGACTTCACGAGCTCAGCCTCCCTGAGCAACCCATTGGGGCAGGGACAGTGAGTCAGTGACACCCACTTCCTCAGACTGAACGCTGCACCCCTGCGAAGGGGTTTCTTCCCAATCTGTCAGGCCTTTCAGCTGTGGCCCCTCAAAGGCTGGGCGGTCCAGACCGGCGTCAGAGCGCTGCCCTGGGGGACCCTGACACTTGGCGGAGCCGCCCCAGGCTGCAGCCTGTGTCCTCGGCTTCAACACCAGTGCGCCCCGCACCGTCCACAGCGCCCAGCCCACAGGAGTCCGCGGTTACGGATGGCCGTGCCCAGCACTCACACCGGCAGGGTCTGTAGCTGACACTAGTCACTATTAAAACCCCGAAATTCATAATCTGCATCAGAAATTACCTAAATACACGGAACCGTGAACCACTCCAGCACATCAACCACTCACAGGCAGCTTTATCCTCTGAATTCTGGGGTGTCAGCAGTCTCCACACGCCTTGTTGTGGGCTCCCCTTCCCCTGCCCACACCATCCCGCCAGCCCAGCCCTGGCACGGGCTCTCCCGGGCCCACACGGGGCTGATGATGGCCCCTTCCCCAGGGGGCCACAGCCTTCCTGTGCTGACCTGCACTTCCGTTTTCCGGACAGGACCTGAGGCACAGGAAGGGTGAAGGACTTGGCCAAAGTGGAACTTGGATCTGGCCCCCGCCCACCCGCCTGCACCCACCGGGTTCCAAAGGCCGCCCGTCCCTAAGGCTGTTTACCTATCCCTCCCGCAGGAGGACGCAGGAGGACGCACGAGGACACACGTGTGTCCAGCCATCACCTTCATCTTTATTTTATTAAGTAACGAGCAGACAAACAGTAAGGGATGGGGGGGCTGAAATCGTTTTCTTTTGAAACAATAATTTTCAGAAATCAAACAACTGTCATCACTTCCCGCCGCACAGGGCGGCAGGGCACCTGGGCAGGGACCCGCCGCTCACGGCCCGCAGAGCTGACGAGGCCGGGAGCTCCCCCGCCCCCAACGCATTCGCAGACTTCCACGGGGGCGAGCCCCATCTGGTGCCCGAGAGCCATGTCCCATTTCATGATTTACCCAAATCACACGCACAACTGCAAGAGGAAACAAACAGAAAACTCTCGGCATAAATAAGCCACAATGGATGATTAGTCTCGTAGAGTCGATCCGGCATCACGGCTGATTTGCTCTTTTAAACACTTCACGGAAAGCAGCTGTCAGGCTTGCTCGCCGAGGCCACACGGCTCCAGAGACCGGAAGGCACGGGTCTCGGCGGGCCGGCCCCCAGAAGGCCGCTCTGGGGCGGTGCGTTCCTTCACGTGCAGGGGTGCAGCAGCACGGCGACCGGATCACCTTCACTGCCGGCCACTCTGCACACATGTCACGATGTCCGGCAAGAGGTGGTTCCTGTTCTCCTTGGTGACCTGTGGGAAGAAGCAAGGGAGGGCGGTCAGATCCGTTTCCTCTCTTCGGCCGCCTCTGCCGGGACATACTCTAGAAGAACCCGGACGGCGGGGGGTGGGGTGCGCCACAACGACACGGGAACGAGGCAGGTGGGAGGCAAGAGCACGGAGGAAGCCCAGCTCTCAGGGCACGCAGAAAACAGGGCAGGAGCGGTCGGATGCCCACCAGCCTCCGCAAAGTGGAAGTGGGTTCACAATGGATGCGTTCTAACCACGAGAGGATCTAAGAACGAAGCCACAGGCAAAGCGCTCTGGAGTGGACACTGGGGACGCAGGGTGGCTTGCAGCCAGACCGACCAGACCTGCCTGGAAGGACCTGCCCGAGTGAGGCCGGGAGAACACGCTGACCAGCTGGGCCCATGGGGAGCGGCTGGCACACCTGCCGAGCGGCACCCAGAATTCCGGATGCTCCCACAAGTCAGCCATCCACTCGTCCGTCCACGAACCTGGAAACCGGAGTGCTGCCAGGAGCCCCTGACATCAGAACAACGAGGATGCTGACGCCCCGAGAACAACCTTGGGGTGTCCTAAGCTCTGAGCGGGCGGGGGCCATGTGCAGACTGAACTCAGGGCTCCAGTCCCCAGTGTGCCTGCTCTCTGATGGACACCATCACAAAAACAGAAGTAACAGAGCTTATTGAAGCTTCACTTGATGGCCCATTTTTTACTTCTCTTCCTCTTGTGAGGACTCCACAGTCTGAGGAATACCACAAAAGAGTGACCCCACCAGGGAGCTGGCTGGCGGGGTGCCACCCCACGTAAGGGCGGGGCCATCGCCTCCCATCACCAACCCTTCCTGTGTGGCCCCCTCAACAGTCACCCAGCCACCCCTGACAGCGTGCCGGCCAGAAATGGGCGAAGGTGCTGGGGACAGAGAAATGGCTCAGGTAAGACCTGACCTCATGGCACCTGCAGACCAGAACCTGGGCACAGGCAGGAACAGGAGCGAGGGCAACGAATGGATGGAAGAATGGACGGCGAGCCCCACGAGAGCGGAGGGCACACCGGAGCGGCAGAGGCAGCCAGGAAAGGTTTCTGCGAGCCGATACCCCGGGCCTTCGATCTCACAGGGCACAGTGACAGGAGGGCGCCCAGACAGGGAGAAGGCCCCGAGTGCATGCGGAGGACCTGAGCGGGCCCCGTGTGGGTAGACCTGGACCCCGAGAGGAAGGATGCACCTGGTCGCCTGCAGACCTCACCCCGTGTCTGGCAGAGGGCCTGGCACACAGTCGGTGCTAAATAAACATCCGATGAGGAAATGCACAGGGGCCTCACCCCCTTGGGTTCCTGGGCACGCAGAACACAGAGGCTGAGAACCAGGGGTGCGCACCGGGCCCAGGAGGCCTTCCACGCCCGCCCCCACAGGACACTCGGTTAGGTGCTGAAAGAATAAAAGCTAAAACTGGAAAACACTCATTTTGAGGGTAACTTATCATTAAAAGTTAATAATGAAAGCCAAAACTACATTAACATTCTGCTCCGCCCCTCTGATATCCCCGAGTTCTGGACATCACACAGGGATTGTCTGTGTGACACGCCCACTGAGCTGTCCTTCCACTCCCGGGCTGCCGAGGACCGACTCTCCAGTGCTGGAGCACGCGCAGCACCTGCCGTCAGCACCAGGGCCTGCCCCGGGCGGGATTCGAGGCCACTCCTCCGTCAACCACCAGGCTCAGGCTGCAGTCTCTCCTGAGGGGCTACTTAGGAGAGGGGGCTGAGGGCAGAAAGAGGTGGCGAGGAAGGCTGCAGCAAGGAACCGAGCTGTCCCCTTCCTCCTCCCTGCGCTGGGGCCCAGAGGGAAGCTGGGTGAGGGACATCTGAGCCCTCTGTCCTGCCCCGTGAGGCGGGGACCTTGAGTCCCAGGGGACCTAGGCTGTGTCTCATTCGTCCTGCATCTTGCGTTTGGCACATGGTGGGTGCTCAATCAATGTTTATTAAATTCCAAGCCGAGTGGTTAAATAAAGATTATGAAAATGCTGGCCACCGTTTGCACCTCCTGGGACTATGGAGCGAAGCTGAGGCGCTGGCTGCAGGGACAGGCAGGGACGATGCCTTTCGGTGTACCTTCTACGGCAAGAGAAGTGAAGAGGCAAGTCAAAGCCCCAGGTGTCCCCGAGCTCACCCTGCGGTCGTGGCCCCGCCCCGCTCCGCAGCCCAAGGGCGGGCGGCACTCACACTGAACACCCGCACATCTGCTCTGCTCCGGATCTCCTCCACCAGGGCCAGCGGCTTCCCTTTGGGGACGGGGATGGTGCCGAGGACCACGGTGCCCGGGGCGGACAGCGTCTGGCGAACCGCCTGGATGAAGGGCTGACTGAAGAGCTCCATCTTCCCAACCTCGTCGATGACACACACTCTGCAGCCTGGGCCGCCACAGGAACCTGCCTGAGGGTGACAGAGACGGAGGCTGGGACACCAAAGGCACAGGGAGCAGGGTCCCACCCCCCAATCACCCGCCAGGCAGCGGTCACACCAGGGAGAGCCAACCGCGCTCTGGAAGTCCGTGCACCTCACGGTCCACATGGGCCGACTCCCTGGGAACCCCACCTCCCTGGGGACCGTCCCACCCCGAGCATCAACTCCCTGAGCCCCCGGGTCTCCTGGCAGCTCCGCCCCTTCGGAGCAGCTCCAGTGATAGCCAGGCTTTCCGGCTGTGTCCACCCAGAACACGAGCGGACCCCAGGGCCTTGGGTGCAGAGGAAGTGAGACAAGCCCGCCAGCCCCGAAATAACACCGCCCCTTCCTTTCCGACTCCGAGTCGAGTGAGATGCCCTGTCTTCCAGGAGGAAGTCAGTGCTTGGGGCAAGACCCACCTATTCCATAATCTGCAACAGGAGGGCTGGTGGAAAGAAGTAAAAATGAAAAGAAACGGTGTCTCAGAATTAAAAAGTGAGCGGGATCATGCCCTTCAAATATCTCAGGTTCCGCCGCTGATGACTTTACACCCTCCATCCAACACGCCCTGGGAGCCCACCAGGAGCAGGAGTGGGGCCGGGGGTCCTGACGACTGCCAGCCCCTGGGATTGGAACCCCTCCCCGACCCCAACACAGGACCAGGCTGGTCTGTGTGGCCAGAGGACACAGCAGAGAGGACAGTACGTCACTTCTAGACTGGGTAGCAGAGCCTCCTGTTTGGGTCTGGTCTCAACCTCTTCCCCCACATGTCTCTCTGTCTCCCCCCACTCCCCCCACCCCGCCTGCTCACTCTCACTCACTCTCACTCTGTCCCCCCACTGCTCACTTGCGCTGGGGGGGACAGCCGCCATGTCACTGAGACACTCAGGCAGCCGCTGGCGAGGCCCATGTGGAAAGGGACCGAGGCCGCCCAGCCACCCCGACAGCGAGACCGGGCGCGGGTGCCTCCCGGTCAGGCCTCAGGTGCCGCGGCCCCAGCCGACAGCTGGACGGCACTGCGCAGACACTGGTGGCCCGACGCCCCAGGCTCGGCCATCCTGGGCTCCTGACCCAGGGAGGCCCTGCGAGATGATAAATCCTCATTGGCTCAGGGATCGTTAGATCCGGGGCCCATTTGTTACACAGCGGCAGATGACCGACACACGCGCCCCCGCAGAGTCCTCCCCAGAGAAAGCTGACGGGACCTCGAGCAGCTCCTCCGCAGCAGGGGCGCGGCAGCGCCCACGCCGCACTCCGGGGAGCGCGGCGGGGGGGGGGGGGGCCTTCTAGGCTCCGGGTGAGTCACGCTCCGAGGGCTGCCCGTGAGGCTGATTACAAAGCCCTCTTCACCTGCTGCCAGAGCCCCCCAGCCACCCCTCCCCCACCCCCCGCGTGTGCGCGTCCGCCTGCGCACCTGCGGCACGAGATAAGGGAAAGCACCGATCTCAGAACCCATCTGGCCACGGAGAAACGTCTTTCTCTCCCAAGAGAAGCGATAACGCTCAGCTTCTGGGGGCCTCCAGAGGCACAGCCACAAAAACTCTCTAATTTTTTGTAGTAATCTTATTACTTTCAACTCTCAGAAAGAACCACACATCCGGGGTCTCAGAATAACCGCCGTCGCCAGCACCATTCCGTCAGGCAGAGAACGGCCCCGACCGCACCCCCACAGGCCCGCTCCCCGCACACAGCAGAACAGACAGGACCGGCCCCCCAACAGGGCAACTCCTGCCCTTCGCATCAGCAGGTCCTGCTTATAATTATGAACTAACTTTCATTCTTCTGCTTAGTAAACATTTTGGTCCATGTTTAGACTTTTGATAAAAGTTTGGACTCTCTGATGCCTGATGTCCTTTTATTAGAGGCTGCCCGGAGAGCTGATGGTTTGTGCTGCCATAAAACGGCGATGATGTTTTTTTCCAATGAATGAGGTAACCGGATACAAACACAAGAGCACAGCTTAGACTCAGAAAAAAACCAGCATTATGGCTCTTAGAGTTCAGCTCTTGAACGTCCAGCGATTTTACACTTGTTAATAGTGCCCATCTTGTTACAGAAAGTATTTCGAAAGGCAGTAGCTAAATTTGATTTCTACTTGAAACCTCAAAAGAAAGCTATTTTTAGGATAAACTAATAAAGTTCTTAAGAAGTAAAATCAGGAGAAATTCTGATGAGGAGGGCATGCAGGGTCTTCACGCATCTCCGCACTCACTGCCTGGGAGCTTCAGAGGGACAGACGGACAGTCTGCAGTGGGGACAGAGGGCGGTCCCCTCACCTGGCAGCCAGAATTGTATCCGCACACGTCACCTGCCCCCAGAGGAGATGCCCAGGAAACACGCACCACCGTGTCTGTGGTGTTCTGGCTGAATCTAAACACACAGAATCCCAGAAACCCCCAAAGAGGAAGGTCCTACTAAAATAGAGGTGTCTCCTCAAAACCGTCAATGTCGTGACAGAACAACGGGCGAGGCCCCGGGTGGAAGGAGCTCAGGAAAGGCAATGACGAAGTGCAGCAGGCAGCCCCAGGGTGGATGACGAGGAGATTACAAAGGACACTGTTGAGCCAACGGACAGAACTGGCGCAGGAAGGGCCGTTATGAAGTCAAAGCATGTTTTCCGTGTGGCCCTTACTGAGAGTCATGGCGGCACCACTTACATAAGAGCATATCCTCATTCTAAGGAAAAAGACACCGAACATTGTTTTAGGAGTTAAGTACACTGGTGATTGCAATGTACTCTCAAAGGGCTGCCCTGCAAATGTGTTTACACACACGCGCACACGCACGTGTACACACACACACACACACACACACACACACACACGGAGTGAACAAACAGCAGGGCGAAGGTCAAATCCAGGTGACTGGATGACCAGTGTACAGGTGATCTTACACTGTCCTTATTCTTGAGCAAAATGACACCCAAATACAGTGATTAAAAAGTGAGAATCGATACAAAGAAGGAAAACCCGTGCACACCTCACCGTGCCGGTCAGGAAGGGAAGCAGCGCGTCAGAGTGAACTTCCTCCGAAGGCCCCTGGGACCTGAGACTGGCGTGCTCGGGGGGAGGGCCGGGACCCAGCGCTGGGACGGGACCCAGTGGGTGAGGGAAGGGAGACGCGGAGGCAGCGGTACAAATGCCACCCGCCGTGTTTACCAGGAGCGGGCTGCGGCAGAAGGACTGCACGAAGGCACCGACACCCAAGGCACAGGCCGGCTCAGCCACGGGCCCCAGAGCCGGTGCCGCGGGTGGTGGGAGAGCCAGCATCGGGCCTGCTCTGCCTGTGGGGTCGGGTTACCCGCAGGCAAGGGTCCACCTCCGAGTCTCACTCATGGCAGGGGTGCTTCCACGGACAGTTGTTAATTGTGTGCTGTGTCTGTGTGTGACCGTGGAGCCGAGGAACGGGAGGTGAGGAGGGACGCAGAGCTCCTGTCGACCCTCCGGACATGGAGCCTGACCACAGACACCCCAGTTTCCCTAAACCCACCCCACGCCCAGCAGCCTGGAAAGCTCAGTGGCACTTGTAGGTCAAGGGACTGAAAACCCAGCCTTTCCCTGGACAGGGGTTCTCTCCCCGTGAAGACGAACTTTCAAAGATGTGAACCGGAGCTTTACTTAAGAATCGAAAGCAGGTCCTGCTCTCAAAAACAAAACATGTACTAAAAGCCTTATTGTGATCAAAACAGGAAAATGCAAGTTCAAACTCTGTTGGTTTTCATCGGCTGTTCTGTTCTAGGTTACTACTCCTTCCAGAGCTTCACTAAGAATGATGCTGCTGAGCCTGAACAGTAGGGCTGTGAGTGGAAGTCCTTTGATCTTAAGACACACACGGACACGGCCGCCCATCGTGGTCTCCCTGTGTGAGGAGGGGGCGCCCTGGGAACCAGCAGCGCCAAGCCCTGCAATGCCAGACCAAACTCCAACTCGGCGCCGTGTGGCTGACCGCGAGGCCCCCGTGGAAGGGGCCGGATGATCCAACAGCCTTGACCGTCGGACAGCTGGAAACCAGTCCTCATTACGGCGGCATCGAGAAACAGAGGGGACCCGTGGAAGACCTCACCGACCACGTTTCAGAGGAAGAAATAAAACCAGAGACATCACGCCCTTGGCTCTGGAGGGTGAAGGCTGTCTGCAGCGGTGAGAGATGCTTCATCTATAAATAACCACAATTTCCTACCATCCCTCTCTCCGTCTAAGACGTTTTATGATGGATCATAAAGTCTCGATGCTACAGTTCACGCCAGCTCTATCTTACAGGCTACTCCCTAGCTTATGCCTCCGTTTCCTCATCTGTGAAACAAGAATACAGTGATGTGTTCACTCTGAGGATTAAATGACTTAGTGCCTAGCACACAATTTGCACTCAGTAACTATTCATCATCACCATCGCCGCCACCACCACCACCACCACCATCACCATCGCCACCGCCACCACCACCATCACCATCGCCACTGCCACCACCATCGCCACCAACGTCATCGCAACCACCACCATCACCGCCACCACCACTACCATTACCACCACCACCATCACTACCACTAAAATTGGGAGAAATGAACAAACCAGAGAGAATAAGACATGTTTTTGAGGAATAGTATGACTAATTGCTGAGGTAATTAAAATAGCATGGTACTGATGCAAGAATCAAACAGATCAATGAGAGCAGACAACCCTAAAACATTACACACGGACACACATTTTAAGGTGATTAATGAAGCACAATAAACTAATGAGAACGGGTTATTTACAAACGGTTTTGGTAAACTGGCTAAGAATTTGGAAGAAAATCAATTGAGAGTGTGGTTATATATTACAGTCAAGATAATCCAGATGGATTAAAACATAAAAGTTAAAAAAATAAACAAGTACATGCACAAAAGAAACACATTTTATAATAACTTGGAATATGGACAGACTTTCAATGTTGAAAAAAGTCACAGCTGAGAAAAATACAATCAACCAATATAAAAAGACTATTTGCTTTATAAAAGATCTCTTTTAAGCCTAAAGAAAAAGGAATGAGGAAAGGAAGGAACAATTTAGATTTTAAAAAATGCCCGATGAAAAACATCTAACCTCATTCCTGTAACAAAGCGAACCAGAGCAAGGCAGGGTGTTCCCGCTGGAACACCACACAGAGCCCAGCGCCGGCCGAAGTGCAGCGAGGCAAACGCTCGCACACACGGGCAGCGCGCAGGGCGCCCAGGGACACCGCCGTCACAGGGACACACAGCAGCACTCGGCCAAACTCCGACCATTCACGCGCCTCCAGATGCTCCCCAGGGCACAGTCACGGCTGGGGAAAGGACGGATGATGAGTGCGGTGCCTGTGGCAAGGCCGCCTACCGCAGCGCTAAGTGACCACAGTGTCCGACACCGAGGAACGGACAGTTACATCAGCGTCAAAAATCCACGCCACGAAGTCAGAGGCCATCATTAAATCATCACAGTCTCAAAGACTGTCACGTTCAGGACCACTCCCGCAGCATCACTCAGCCACGTTACGGGAAACTCCCAGCCTCTGAAGCTACACAGTGTTCTCCCAGTCCTGGACGACTGAAAGATGGGCTAGGTACAGAAAAAGGGCAGAAACTGATTATGGTAACAGTGGCAAAACTCACTTATTCATCTTTTCCCTTTATGTCATTGTTTTAAACAAATTTCCTACCTGGCGTATGTTGAACTCAAATACTCAAGACAACAAATGTTGTCAACTAAGATGTCACCCGTGAAATAAAAAATATATGTAAACACCCACCAGCCCTACAAAGGACCTTCTAAAATCCTCACTACTGTGTCTAAGAATGTTCCCAGTCTTACTCGGTTTTTCCTCATCTCCCACGTGAGCCCACAAAAGTCCTCGAGACCCCACCCTGTCCAAGGGAAGGAAGCACCAGCACCATCACAAGAGGGGCCGGGCTGTGCCTGAACCCCATCTAGGCCCCTGCTGTCCCGCCCCGGCTGCTCCCAGCTCCCAGCCCTCCCTCTGCCCCAGCGCAGCGCAGGCAGGCCTGCTGGGACACAGCACTGTCCTTCTTACGTCCACACCGGAGACACCCACCAGAGAGTCACCGCCAGGGTTTCTGTTTCCCTACATCCCGGCACCACGAACCAACACACTGTTAATCTGGGCCAGGGCGTTGGCCTGCCTGCGTGTGCTTTCTGGAGCTTTCGGTTCACTTCACTTGGTCATGCCAACTGCCAATAGCAGAATTTGTCTCCCTTGATTCCCCTATGTTTGTTGCCTATTTAAACTTTTCTCTCTCTTTTTTACTATAAAGGCAAAACACTCATTCTTTTTTCCGTTCCTCATCCCAATAAAATACACACGATGGGATAAGACTCTCTGCTTCAGAAAAGAAATCCATGCCCTGGACTGGGTAAGAAGCCGCAGCCTGTGGGTTTGGTAATTAAAGTATAAATAAATGGAGAAGTCTGCCTTATTTTTTAATTAAAAAAGAGATTCAATTCTTAGTCCTGCAGCACTCGATTTCTTGTGGAATCTGGCAGACACTCGGCACATGCGCACAACACACTCCCAAGATTCAGTCTGCTCCGAGCAAGGCAAGTAAAAATCAATTCTGTGTATTGATCCCATGCCAAAGCCGGCGTCTTTACCTGGGATTTCATTTGCAGCATTCCGCTTGCCTTTTGAACGTCTGAGCAGATGGATTTGTATCTGCCCGGAAGAGAGCTGGAGAGAAAACCCCAGGGCAGCACATCCAGGACAGCCCCAGAGCAGGAAATAAAGAGGGAGGGGCTGGGGGCGGGGAGGCGGGAGCCCCAGCAAGAGGGAGGTGGCAAAGCAGCTGCAGGCTCTGAGCAGCAGCAACCCCACCCAAAACGAAGCCCCTCCCCAAACCAAGCGCCCAGCACTGCCAGCCCTCTGACGTAGAAACCGTCCTGGGCAGGCTGCAGCTACAATTTCCCGCAGCCTTGGAACGCTGCTAAAGCCCTTCACTGCACATTTCAACTGAGCCCCAGATGTCAGAAAAGAGAAGTGAAGCAAGGATCTGAGGAGTATGCGCCCCAAGAAAACGGCCAAGGCCAAGGGCAAAGGCCTGTGCGCCCTGGCAGGCGTGGGCACGTGCCCGAGCTAGTGTGGCCACAGAGCGGTGACGGCAGGTGGGCAGTTACCAGGGCTGGACAGCACAGGGCCTCCAGCCCAGAAGGGGGAGCTCGGACTTTATTGTTGACGTGACAGAAACTGCTGGAACGTTTAAAAGAGCCCCTTCAGACAGGCCTGCACCACCCACTTCCACAGAGGCAAATGAAGTCGCAAGTCTGTGACACAGTGAATGGAGCCCACACCCCTGATGGGGTCCACAAGGCCCTGCCTCCCAGCCTCACCCGCCCCACCAAGCTCTCCGCCTCCTGCTCCCTCCCCAGGGCCTGGGGCCTCCGTCTTCCAGAATATTCTCCCCAGGCCCCTCTCCCCACCCACCCACTATTCCCTCTGAAGGGGTGGAGTCTCCTCATCTTTTCAGTTCAGTTCAAAGGCCGCCCCTGGGAGCTCTCAGTGGGTGTGGGGTTTCTTTGGGGATGGCACCAATGCTGTGAACTTAGACTGTGGTGAGCATTGCACAGCCCTGTGAATATACTAGAAAAACTCAAATTCTACAAATCACTCCATTTTAAATGAGTGAAGTGTATGGCATGTGAATTATCTCTCAATGACCTGGCTGAAAAAGAAACAAGTAGTACAGTAACATAATGTGTTAGGTGCTTTCCATTATATTCATAAAATGACACTTTTCCTTCCTAAATGTCTATTGCTCATGCTGTGAAAACTGGGTTGATATGTAAACTAAGAGAAAATAGAGAAAAGGCTTATTATGTTTGGGGGTGTTGGTAGCTGGGCATCAGAGCCCTCCCAATACAAAATCTTTGTATGTGCTCAATTTATATGACAAGGAACTTAACTGTAGTTCAAAGTGACAGCAAATTATATTGCATATACCGTATTTTGCCGTGTATAATGTGCACCCACATTTTGGGGCCAAACTTCCAGGAAAAAAATCTTTAACTTTTTAATTCACTTATTTATATTTAGAAATGAAACTGATTATCATATTCCAAGCTATTATTTCGTATACAGATATCTTTACTGTTTTCTAGAGTTACACTTTTAACTCATAAGCATAAATGAAAACATTAAAAACATTTATGTAGATATGGAATTAGTACTACCCATATCTAATGTGCACCCTTATTTTCCCTTAGAAATCTGGGCAAAAAAGTGCACATTATATACAGCAACATACGGTACTTCTTAAGGGTCAATCTCTGCAAGACTTTTAAACTATAAAATGCAAAGCTGGCCTCTCCTTCAAAGCAGAAGCCACTCCATCCCAGGGCCCGCAGGTCCCACAATGCCCTGCGCACAGGGGGCCTCCGGGCGGAAACCACTCACATTCCTCAGGACCGGGAGCGCCAGCTGCTCAAAGGCCGGCAGATCCACCACGTACTGCCCAACTCGGCACTCCCGTCTGCCCAGTGGAGGCTCTGACCTGGAAAGACAGTGAGTTCCCATTGAAAGACCCCCGTACTGGTTCCTGGTTGTTGGCTGTTCCACTTGCCCTCCGGCCTCCCACTTAGGCTAAATCCTTGTCCAAAGCCACCGGCACAGAGAGGTGGAGCGGAGAGCTGACCGGAGCCCAGGGTCGCCCCGGGAGCAGGACGACCACTACGCGTGCCCACCACGACCGGCAGGCCTGGTGGTCTCCTCGGTGGGGCCCACCCCGAAGCTCCAAGGAGCTGCCGCCCCAACCAGGACTCAAAAGCAACACAGGAAACGGGGTTTCCTAGGCAACGGCTGAGCTTTACGAGAAATACAGATTTGTACACATCGTTCTTCAGGTGATGATTTCAATCTGCTTCTTTCTCAAAGAGATCCAGAGGCCTAAGACCCTCCAAGACAGAAGAGAGCACGGGGCTCAACCCCATGCCCGGGGAGGACCGAACAGCACAGAAGTGAAGTCTCGTACCCAACTCTGGACAAAGGCCCCCGCAGCCCGGAGAGCGTGACAACGTCGAACCCCACTCTTCTCCCGCCCTGCCGGACCTCTTCCGTGTAGAACCCGTCGACCGGCACGCCGGAGGACTTCAGAACCTCACTGGCTTTCTGGATCAGGGTTGTCTTTCCAATTCCTGGGAAGAAACACAAACCCCGTTAGGTCCCATCCCTTGCTAGAGCGTGCTCAGCACTCCACCCCCGGGGAGCAATCACAGTGGGGAGGAAACAGGCTGCAAGTGGGTTTTATGAGTATTAACTTTGCTTTGACCTTGAGTACCCCAGGTTAAAACTGCTTAATTTCCAGTAGAAACCAGCATAATAAAAATATGGAGTATATTACATTTTACAGCATATTGCAGCACATCTGCAGCATATTACACTTATTTTTACATTCTGAAACAGTATCAGTTTAGTCACATACACAATCCTAGAAACAAGCGAGTGGCTTCCCGATGACAGTATCAAGTGCAATTTGCACCCTGTGGATCCTAGGTTCACCCCCTCCCTGGGTGGTCCTGCTCTTTCAACCTAGGAAATGAAACTGGTCATGCTGGGGTCAAAGGCTGGGCATTCTAGGATTTCCACCTTCAGGCACTCTGTAGCCACGTTTAAAAGTGGGAGATTCCCTTCACTACCCCATGGACTTACGTCACTATGGCTCCTCAAAATGTGTCCCTTAAGTACCACTGCCACCACTAAAAATAGCAGTCTTCAAACTTCTTCACAAGAGCTACCCTATTAGCTTGGCAACCCCTCTGTCACTACCTCCAGTGGCCCTAAGCACTCCTTTGGCTGACCCAACCCCTCCCCAAATGATAACCTACAGATCCCTTCCAACCTCTGACCCTTCCTTTCCTCCCAGCCTGGCCTGTGGACGACTCTGCAGAGCCCTTTCATATTTACAGGCACCAGCAGGTGCTGCCAAATGGAATGACACTGCTCACTGGCGTTCCAGAGCCAGGCACGTTCCAGAACATTCCAGCATGCTTCAGGAGAGCTTTCTTGGTTAAATGCTCACAGCCACCCTCTGAGGCAGTCACTGTTCCTGCCCCAGTTTTACAGATAAAGAACCTGAGGCACAGAGAAGTCAGGTAGCTCACCCGAGGTCACCCAGCCAGTAGGGGCCAGACATTGAACAGGGCCTTCCTGTCACTGCGACTTTGATTACTCGAGCCTCGTTCCTGGACAGACTTAGGTAAGTGGCATCATGAATGAATGCCCCAAAATGGACAAGCAGAGAGCCCTTCTAGCAGGTCTGCAACAGAGCTCTGCTGAGACGCCACAGCGCTGAAGATCAGATTATTTCTCCGGCTGCCCACAGTCATGAGGGTTCCCTCAGGACCCTTTTAAGTTTCCATGAAACAAAACATGATCCATTACTCTTACTGAATGCATCTCTTCCAACTGCTGCTTTGGCAAAGTCTAATTAATTTGACTAATGCAGGCAAGTGGTATTGGTGGGTAGGTAAACTGGTACTTTTCTTAAGGGTAATGTCAACATGCCTACCACAAGTGCACAGAAATTTTGGGGTCAGAAACTGTCCTCAGCAAAGGTCTGACAACAGGCACATGATATTTATTAGCACGGAAAACAGACCACGAGACGTGAAAGTAATGTACGGGGAAAAAGCAGGTTTAGAAACAGCAGGCATACCAAGTATTACTCCATTGGGATTTGTTTTTTAAATTGTGTTGGAATTCCATGTGAAGTCAGTCTTCTTTAAACCTTTCTTGTACTTTTTTCTCTTAAAATGAGTGGATACTACTCTTAATGTAAGAAAAAAACAGAGCTATTTGCATTTTGAAAAAGAAACTGGAGCAGCTGCGGTCAGAGGGACACGCTGTGCGTGCTGTCGTCCTGGGCGTGATGTAGGACAGAGCAAAGCAAGAGGCAGGGGGCTCGGGTCCCTGTTTCCTCCTCAGCTGTAGCACTATCTCCCAGGCAACGTTTCATCTGCATTAACGAAGCTGCCAGCCTCGTGCTGTCTGTACTGGCTGCGCAGCGAGTGGTACTAAAGACCCCAGGATGACAGCCCGCACCGCGCACAGACAGAACAGGGCAGAAAGCTCCAGGATTTTGGTTCTGGTCCTCCCATAAAGCCTGCCCTGAGATAAAGATTCAAGTGAAGGCAGTGTAACTTGGGAAGTGTCCCCAAGACACACTGGTAGGGAGGTAACTGCATGAGCAAGCAAGTTAGCACTGTGGGTAGCTGGAGCCTAATCCCCCGGGGGGACCCGAGGCTCAGCTGTCTTGTCTGAGAGGGGAGGCAGTAGGGAGCTTACTTCCATCTGCCATGGATTTGAGGCTGCCCCTGGGGGACAGGAAGTCCCTGGCCCATCAGACCTGCCCTGTGCACAGGCAGGATGGGCTCTGGTGACCAGAGAAACCCTCCACATTGGGTCACAGGTGGACGGCTGCAGCTGGAAACAGAGCTAAGTGCCGGAGTGCCCTCTCTGACCAGACAGCTTACTTGCTGGTCTGAACGTGCAGAGAAGATTTAGCCAGCACGCAGAGTTTGGGGACGAGTTGGTGACAAAAAGAAACTACGTGAATGAAAAAACAACAGGCACTAATTCCAAAGGGAAGAAAAAAGCTGTGCACAATAGGAAAAGCAGTTATGGATTCCCACCGGATCTTGGGTGATTGGCTCTCACACAGTCATAATACCAGAGACACTGACTACGAGCTAATCACAACCCCAGTGTGCCTGCCGTGGGGAGACGGGGGGGAAGAGGGGGAGTGGGCCTGAGGATGGGCTTCAGAGAGCTGCATTGTGGAATCACCCGAATCTTTCAACTACGTGCATATGAAACTTCTATAAATAAGGAAGCAGAGAGAAGAACCAGTACCAGCCCGGCCCGCCTGCGTCCCCACCGGTTTCCAGGCCTCAGGCAGGTGCAATCACAATGAACAGGTAACCTGTGAGGAAATACAGAGGGGGCTTGGGCCCATCCTGCAGGGAAACTGCATCCCAGATCTCAGATAAGGGGCTGACCAATCACCTTCCAAAAGACAGTCTTGTGCGGCGTCCATCCGAGAGTACCTCTGGCCATTAGAAAGTTCTCACGCTACCCTCCCTCCTCACTGCTCCTCCACTGCCTGGTAAAAATAAGATTCCAAAGTCTGCAACATTAGTAGCCTCTGCTACTTAAGGCTAAGCATAATCATTAAAATAAGGTGACAGAGAATTCTAGGGTTACAATCTTTGATTGCTGAACTGTCAGCTAACGTGAACATTAGCTCCACCTTGCAAATGGGCTGAAGAATCCTTTTCCTCACTCTTAAGCCCATCTTTCTCCCTGAGCCTGAGGCCCACCCGCTGCCTGCCTCTTCTTGTAGTCACGCCCACTACATGTGCACCACCGTGTTTTAAAAGCCATTTCCTCCTCTAGTCTCTCCTTTGATCTCACATTGCCCCATTCACTGGCGAGAACTCCACAGCTCACAGGAGTGAGGGATTTGCCCCACGACTGGCATCGGAGGGACCAGGCACGGACACAGGATCTGAGAGCGGGTCCTTAGGTACCAAAACTTCTCGGCCGGCAGCCTTATCCGTGAGCGGAATTCAGGAGTCAGTGAACTCAGAGAAAGGGAATAGAAGTTTCACCACCCTTCCACTGACCCCTCCTTCAATTACGAAAGTGGATCAGCACACAGGCAGCTGTGTGACTCTCAAAAGAAGCCGGGCCCCTTCCTCCTCAACACGGAGGTGACAGGTATCCTGAGCGTGGTCCCTGCGCATCGCCACGGCAAGGCAAGGCCAGGGTCCTTCTTAAGCGGCCGCGGGTGCCGGCTGTCTACTACTTTAACAAAGCCCACGTCCCCACATCACAAGTTTGCTCTTCTCGCCACGGTGGGCTTCATCTCTAATCCTATCTACCCCAGGTACTTAAAACCCCGCTTTCTGGGAAAGGGTACGCAGGCTTCAGAGTACCAAGTCTGCAATATCGTAGCACTTCAGCGACCAAGCATCCAGAGCCCGGGAGCCGGCCGCCCCCACTGCGCGCGCCCCCACGCCCACCCGTCGGCTTCCCAGAGGCGGAGACCCGGTGGGGTTACCTGGGGGCCCCGTTAGAAACACGTGCCGGGCCATACTGCGGGCCAGAGGGGGATCACGACCCGGGTTTGGGGTCCCGGACACAATTGGGAGAAAGTGGTCTCTGTCCAAGTACCGCCCACCACGCGCTGAAGGCCCCACCCCCGCCGGCCGGAAGCACCGCCCCCTTGCCGCGCGTGCGCCGTCAGTTCTCGGCCGGGGCCAGCGCACGCGCCTTCAGCCCCCGGCCTGGATCTGCGCGTGCGCCCTCAGTCTTGGGGCTCGGTATGCGCGGGCGGTGTAGTGAACCCTGGTTGGTGGTCCCCGTTCCGTGCCAGTCCCTGAACAGCAGTCTCGGCGCTGGCCTCCTGTGGGGTGTTTGCAAGGAGGGTTGCGTGAGGAGTTCAGTTACTAAACCATCGCTATTCCACGTGAGCGCTGTCGCCCGAGCTCTGCCCTGGGATCGGGCCCACGGGCTGAAATCCCCCAGGCTGCGGGGACAGCCCATCTGAAGGTGTGACTTGCCCAGCGTTGTCAGCCACAGCTGCGGAGGAGAATGATCTGATTGAACCTGCTTGATACCTGGGCTCCCCCTCCACAGCTGCAGAGGAATTCCTCTGGATCTCCTGTCGTTTAAAACTCCCTGGCTAATGGGAGGAGATTGGGGAATTGGGTGGGAAAGATGAAGGGATAAGAAGTATAGATTGGCAGTTACAAAATAGTCACGGAGATATAAAGTACAGCTGAGGGAATATCGTCAGTAATATTGTGATGCCACGGCGCCAGATGAGCACTGGACTTATGGGGGGATCACTTCTAAGGTATAATCAAGTCTAACCGTTAGGCTGTACTCCTCAAACCAATACAATGTTGAGTGTCAACTGTAAATGAAAAATAAAAACATAAAAAGACAAACTGGCAATTTCTGAAGCCCACAGGGGTTGAGAACGCTCATCGTGCCCTCTTCAGCTCTGGATATGAAGACCACTTCCCCTTCTTAGCTACATACCCCCCTAAACATAGACAAACGCAGTACCCCGCTGGGGGGGTCTCCCTCCCTGTTCAAAGAATTAAGTGGCTTCCCCCTCACCTGGCCACTTGACATGTTTCTGCCAGTGAAATGAAGTGGCCATGGCCTTGGGCCAGATTTACCTGTAAATGCTTTCAGTTTAACACGTGTGGAGTTTGACTTGTGATCAATCATTCTCCATCCTGGCTGAGAAAGCAATTTCAGTGAGCGCTTGACTTAATTGGTTTGTGCCCACACGGGACCTGCAGGAACCCCTTTAGCCTGCCATGTGCACCAGTCAGATGGCCTCTGTGCCTTGCTGTTTAAAAAGGAGTCATCTAAAAACATTTAGACTTGTACAGTGTAGCTGTCACCATCATTTCTGCAACATTTATAATGCATCCCTGGTAATGTGGGGCCTTCCCCCTGCGTTTATCTTTCACCTCCACGCCATCAAGAACAGCCAGCCGAGGTAGCTGAATAAACCCGCAGGAGTAGTTTCCAAAAGAAAGAAAGGAACAGGTACATGGTCATAAATGTATGCTCTTTTAAAAATTTTTAAAATGCTAATTATGTAATATTTTTCATCAGTGAAAAGCAGTTTATGTTTGCAAGGCCCACCAGAAGTTGGACTTTGCTGCTATACCTGGAATTCTGGTAGCTCCAAGCAGGCATCGGTGAAGGCAGCCAAGGGACATGGAGACTCCAGGTGCAGAGGATTGATAGCTCAGAACAAAAAGAAATTTCTTCCATAGTTGGACATTCTTTTTTCCATTAAACACTATTTCTTTGGGTCATGATTACATGGGTGTCTTCACTTTGTGATGATTCATTGATCAGAGCCTTTTGTAGAGTTTCCTCCATGGGTTTCACATCAATAACAAAGGGGAAATACCTTATATTCGAGAGTAACAACAAAAGAAGGGAAGATAATTAGAGACACATTTTTAAATAAATTGGTTACTAAAGTACTGTGCTGAATCTAATTTTTGCTTGCTATCCAACCAAGGTAGAATTATGGAACAGGTGATTCTAATTATTTCCCTACAGCACCTGTGTGCAGCCTCCCTTTGATAGGATCCAGTACCATTTTTTATCAAAATAGGCTGTAGTACATGTCTAAAATCTCTGTAATCCCCAAAGTCCTGAAAACCCCTGTGTCTCTGTTTGTTTTCATATCTGCTTCGCCAGCGATGTCCTAGTTTTAAAACTCTAAGTTCTGTGTCTTTGGAAGCCCCCCTCAGTTCCAGGCAAAGCTAGAGGGTTGGTCATTTTACTGTTAAAGGGCAGAGGAGCATTTGAAAAGCAAAGCAAAGAGCTTCATCAGGGTGAGTGATATAGATGGAATGTTTGTATCCCCCTAGAATTGATATGCGGAAACCTAATGCCCCAGGTGATGGAATTGAGAGGTCATTAGGTCATAGTGTCAGCCTTGGAGGTGGGATTAGCGCCCCAGGGAGATGCCTAGCTCCTTTCTCCATGTGAGGACACAAGAAGAAGCCTGCAGCCCAGAAGCGGACCCTCGCCCAATCAGGCTAGCACCCCAATCTCACACTTCCAGGCACCAGAACTGTGACAGAAAAATTCCTGTTGTTTACAAGCCGCCTGGTCTTGGTATTTTGTTACAGCAGCGCAGACTGACTGAGACCACAAACAAGCAGTTCCTTTCTTACGATTGTTCATTATTAGCTGGTTGTGCTGAACATGGGACCTTTTCCTGAAGAAATGATCTGTCAGCAGTGATAACTAGAAAGCCTATTTAACACAGTCTGTGCTGAATCCCCCCCACCCCCACTCCCACCCCCGTCAGCGCTCCGGGCCCTGAGCACTGTGCGGAAGCAGGGACAACTCTGCAACTCTGTGCCCTCACCTCCTCCTCCGGCACAGTGTGCCTGGATGCCCGCCGCCCCCCACAACTCCCACACACCCGGTATCCAGAAGTACCTCCCCGGCTTGGAGAGAGAACAAGGGTTCTGGCATGAGGCTGGGATAAGCACCGAGTGCAAGAAAACAGAACAGGATGAATGTGGCTACAAGGCATGTGAAGACACCATTGCAGGAAGAAAAGACACCTGCCGAATCGAAGTTAGAGAGCTGTTAGGTGCTGAGGGTGAGACCCGAACCAGATCCGATGCCTTCGAAACCTGTGCTGGGATCACACTGACTTAGTGATAGACTTTGCTTACAGTTTTCAGACCAATCAAGTGCCATTGTGTTCGTTTAGAGTCACCTTCTTGTTGAATTTCCATAACCCATGAAACTTCTAACGACAACTTTAAATTATTGTACAAACACTAAACTGTGAGTAATAACTGTGTGTGTGTGTGCACGTGTGCAGGTTCACGGGTCTGGGTGCCACCTGCCGCCCATTTGTGGGCCCATGTCCTGGTGTGGGGATGGGGGAATGGAGCTTTGCAGAAGCTCTGGCTCAAAGTAGGGGTCAGTGGAGACCTGGAAACGGAGGACCACTTGCTGGTGTTCTGGCTGTGGCCCATGTCCCTGGCCATGGACTGCGGTCTGGGCCCAGTCCTTGGCTGTGCGGTGTGCACTTTAAAAAGTGTGGCTGTTATCAGAGTAAATCAGAAAACCCACCTAGATGAGAGTCACTAAGTCACTCTGAGATCCCACAAAGAACAGTGAAGTAGCAGAAGACAGGGATTCTGCTGAGGCTCCTAAGGCATGCCGGGAAGAAACATGGAAGGCCTGGGAACAAACTGAGAAGGACAGGCTGAGAGGTGCAGGGAGAGGGAGCTTCTCGGGGCTTTATGTCCTTTCCTCAGGAACACTGGCGCTGCATAGCTGTTCAAGTTCATATTCATGTGTTCCACTTGAATCCCATCAGTAGAGAAGCTCTTGTTTGACAAATAATATGGCTCTTGTTCTGGTTTGCATCTGGCTCTGATGGGTAAGAACCAAACAAAAAAAAATTACTGTATCTAGTGAATAGTCAACATGTGATACAAATAGAGGTGGTTATTTATTTAATATTCCCTCCTTCATCCCCTTTCTCCTGTTCTCCTTCCATCCCTCCCTTCGTCCCTCCCTTCCTCCCTTCCTTCCTCCCTCCCTTCCTCCCTCCCTTCCTTTCTCCCTTCCTTCCTCCCTTCTTTCCTTCCTCCCTTCCTTCCTCCTTCCCTTCCTTCCTTTCTCCCTTCCTCCCTCCCTCCCTTCCCTCCTCCTTTCCTTCCTCCCTCCTTCCTCCCTTCTTTCCTTCCTCCCTTCCGTCCTTCCTCCTTTCCTTCCTCCCTTCCTTCCTCACTCCCTTTCATCCTTCCCTCCTCCCTCACTTCCTTCCTTCCTCCCTCCCTTCCTCCGCTCCTTCCTGCTTTCCTTCCTTTCTCCCCTCCTTCCTCCTTTCCTTCCTCCCTTCCTTCCTTTCTCCCCTCCTTCCTCCTTTCCTTCCTCCCTTCCTCCCTTCCTGCCTGCCTGCCTGCCTGCTTGCCTCCCTTATTCTGTTTTATTCTGGACACCATGCACTGCAGTAAATGGTAGGGATCACAGATACACATGAAATACCTTCTGTCCTGAGAAGACTAAGACAGCCAAACAAACCACTGGTGTGCAGCCTTTTATACCTGAGGTCCAATTTTTTTTAAAAAGTTAAATGTCCATGAGTTACAAAGTCTTTCAATAGGAAAACACCTTGGGTGGAGCTCCAGGGGGAGGAATTACTTCCCATCTCTCAGGTCACCCCCCTCGTTGACAACAGATTGCCATTAGGGAGCTGGCACTGTGTCTTAGTGCTGACTTTTTACCTCGTGGACACATTTAGCACATGACAACAGCTAACATTCACTAGTGTTTGCTACGTGCCAGGCTTTTTTCTGAGAGCATTGTAAGTTATATTACATGCTTTAATTCTCACCAAAACTTTGCTCTCCAAATGGAGAGGCCAAGGTACTGAGGGGCTAAGGGACTGGCCCAAGGCCGCCATACAAACACACACAAATATGCGCACACACATGTAAGTGTGCCTGTGCATGTACGTGTGTGTGTGGGATTCAAACCCCGGTATTTGGAAACCAGAGTCTGTGTGATGTTGATTCCTAACCTTTGTCTTGAAAATAGATACAATGTCACAAAGCAAGAAGGGTCCCGGGAGGACAGCAGACAGGCCCACTGGCTGCTCTTCCCTCTCCCGGGAAAGTGAG